ATCTAGAATTGTGCACTTCGTGCCCTAGGGAGGGGATTCTGAGGGAAAGTTTGTGCAGAGGTGTACCGCCGAGGCTATCAAATCCTGACCCTGTTCAAGACAAAATCCGCTCATTTCGCCAGCCTGTGTAAGACAATAGACCTTGTTTCACGTGACCCAAATGGAGCATTTTGCTTAAGAACACCTTCTTTGTTTCTTTTATTTAAAGTCAATGAGCTTTGTAGACCTCGCACCACCCTTTTCACACACTGTTCAAAACGGTAGTAGTGAATAATAGTGAAATTGTTTGCCCTCTTTTAGATTCAACACCCCGAGAACCATACTTAGTCGGGCAACACATACCCGTGAAGGCTAAATAAGGGAATGCTTCCTCGGGTCTCGGCTAAATTAGAAGGTTGGGTCTTCCAGTCAATTCAAGGTGGGATTTGGCCGCGAAGTTCTTTAAAGCCTGCTTCTGTGCCAAGGGAACAGATCAAGAATTGATACCCTTTTGTGATACACAGAATTAACATAAAGCGGATAACGCAATAACTGTCGGACAAGTTCGCTTTCCTTTCTTTCTGCATCTGTGTTCAAAATTCATAATTTATGGTCGTTTATTATTTACAAAAAGTTTCCGGAAAATCAGTCTGAAAAGTAAAAAGAACACGGCTTTTTGGGTAGTTCCAGCGGAAAATTTCCGGGGGAGACGGAACGTCTGAAAAGGTAGGCCTTTTTTTTCCGGACGGAACGTTTCAAGAGGAAGTTCAAGCCTGAGTGTTCCATTCCTTCAAAGCATTTTTAATAGCAGTTTTAGGCCTTCGCCGTCAGAAACAATCCAGAAACAAACGAAACGAAGCACTGCTCGGGTGAAATGGCTGTGCGCATAAAAAATCACAGACTGTGCTTCAGTGCTGAAAATGACCAATACAGAAAATACCATAACATACCAAGATACTCTTTGTTGGTCACACCAAAATTTTGCATAAGCATTGTTTTTAGTCTCTTTTGGCTCCCAAGAGAAACTGAAGACAATACTTATGCAAAATTTTGGAGTGACCAACAAAGAGTACTATGGTATGTTATGGTATTTTCTGTAGTGGTCAATTGGTATCAGACAAATGGTAAACGCGATTCCAGGAAGAAAATTACCAGTCCTGAGTTTTGCTTACCAATTGCCCAAACCGTGAGCAGACCGGTTTGCTCAAGAAAACGGTAAACAACCCATATTTATTTAGACTGTTTACACTCCCCTATTTTTCCTTAAGATCGTTGGGATCGGGCACCTGCCCTAACATTACAGGCGGCCATATTTTTACTAAATATACCGAGTCTAGAGTGGGGATAAGAATCAATTCTACTTAGGTCGCGGGGGACAGTTTGGCAGTAGGCAAGACCTCTATTTTTCTCACCTCTCTCCGCTCACCGCTATACCCCGACGCCCATCTCCTCGGTATATTTGAAACCAAGATGGCTGCACGTAACGAAAAGCACGCGTAGCACTCGATCTCGACCACGATACGGAAAAGTGGGAAGGTGTTCATAAAAGAAATACCTTTTTGAAAAGGGTGTGGACTTTTCTTGGCGAAGCACCCCCGTGGCCCCACTCTTACAATTCCCAGTTGCCGGCTTCCTCTTTCCCCCGTTTACTGGTGTTACAGTGACGATGGGCATCCCCATTCCCAAACCCCTAAGGATATGGACATCCCTTTCTCACATGAAGGGAGGCCCATATCAGGGCGCTCGTCCCTGGCTTGGGAGGTGGGCGCCGTAACTCCAAAGCCAGGGAAAAGCCCCCTGGGGACGAGGTTGGTTCTCAGGGTCATGCCTCTTTCAGCTCCGGGAGGAAGAAAGAATGGGAACGAGGAATACTTTTAAACTATATTTATATATGCGTAACCACAGGTGGCCCAGGCATAATATGAGAGTTTTTATCGGAAATAAAGAGTTTGAAACTTAGAAAAAATAAAAGAACTAAAAGCGATAAAAGTTATTAATAAAGTGTAAATATGGTTACCTCGTGTCGTTGTGTTTGTTTTTAGGAAGTTTCAGCGCGATTTGAGTACTTTAACATTATTTGACGTGGCAGTGTAATAATGAGAGTAATTGTAATATCATTACAATGTCAGGTCAAATGATGTAAAAGTACTCAAATCGCGTTGAAACTTCGTAAAAACAAACACAACGACACGAGGTAACAATATTTACACTTTATTTATGACTTTTATTGCTGTTAGTTCATTATTTAACCCTTTAAGCCCTAAGAGTGATCAGCATCAAATTTCTCCTTGTAATATCAATGCTTTGTAAAACAGAGTGGTCATGAGAATTACGGACATGATCACACAAGACGAATTTGATTGATATTTTATCAACTTCTCTCCACTACTTCTTTAGGAAATGAATAGGGGCAACAAATGAGAATTCAATTTTTGATCTTGGGGTTTAAAGGGTTAATGTAAGTTTCAAACTCGTTACTTCCCATACAAACTCTCATATTACGCTTGGGCCACCTGTGGTGTAGCGACTCTCCGTTTCTTCAGTAAATCCATCCAGGAAGAACGACTTGTCCATTAGAAATATCGGGAACACTCGAGTCTTTATTCTTTGCTGTTTTGTTATTAAAGTTCATTGGTCTTTGTAAAAACAGCGAGATTTGGATACCGTCATAATTATAAAAGTCTCAACGAGGAATACCCACGTTTGTAATGTCAAGCCGTGAACTGGCTTCGTGTTCTGGGTCCTTTTCATTCCAGCCTGCGTGCCGACGTCTCCTATTCCGTCTTTATTCCGTCTACTATTTCCTTTATAGATTCTGCGTGCAAGAGACGTCTGCACACAGGATATTTTTATGTTATATCCTAGCTTTACCATACTTCTGAGGAGGGGAGGAGTTAGGTTATTTTTGTTCTGGGGATGTACAAGTGGGCTTTCAGGCCCCTTTCCTATATAGTCTAGATATTTTTGCGGCAAATTTTAAGCCCCATTTAAGTCACTTTTGCTGGGGACTTCGTCATCCAAACTTAGTAACTCTCTGTATTAACTTCGTCAGGGAATTTTTTTCTTGTTGCAAGACTGTAAAGACGAAAGCCGGAGCATTTCAAACAATTGACAATTATATCAAGCTCCTGCCCTGTTAAATCAGCTTTGCTCATTTTATACGTACCTGTATAGACCATATTGGGGACTACCCCCTTCTTCTCCGTCTGAGGTAAATTGGCTAATAGCAACTCGAGTGTAGTTTATTTTCCCCGACGGGTCAAACCAAATATTCGTTTCTTACAACCACTTTCAAAAGCAGATTCTTCAGAGCAGGGTTGATTCTCGTTTTTCCGGTTTGAACGTGGTTCAATTGACTTTCATTTTCTGAGGATTTCAACCATTTCAGTAATTAGCTTTCGGAGACTTTCTGGATGGTATCCTATAAATGGTGTGTACTCAAACGGACAAATTTTTGAGTAAGCACTTTATTTGTCTTGATTATTTACAAACGTACAATTCTAATTCTATTTGCTTACGTATTGATCGATATTAAGGTGGTGTAGAACTTGGCTAGCGCACTTTAATACGATTTTTTTTCTAAAGAAATACTAACTTGGGTCACGTAAAATATTTAATATGTTATGCCTCTCTTAACGACTACTGAAATTTATCTTGTTTTTGTCTTTGATGTTTTTGAATGGCCTTTTTTCGATTTCTGACGTATTGAAGGCTTTAGAAAAAAGCGTTCGGAGATGCGAAAACTTAGTACGTGCTCATGAAATTAAACAAAAGCCTTACACATCACCATATGTATATATCATATATGTGATACATGCGTTATTGACCAAGCGTGAGGTCAAGATGGCTGGATATTGGCCAAGTTCTTTTTTGCGTTTTTATTGACCGAGACGAAGTCACCTAAAACAAAAAAGGAGACTAATTTGCAGTTATCTTGACCGAACAAGCTTGGTCAATAAGGGATATATTATATGGCCAAAAAGAGACCTTTTTCTTGCTGGACCAACGCGGGAAAAGGTCTTGCCCGCTCTGGTAGCCAATCAGAATGCAGAATTCGCTCTCATCTTTCCAGCTCGAGGTTTCAACCATAAAATAGATACTGAGTATATTGCGGAGTCGGTCTCCTTTTCAATTGTTTTAAGTCACGTCTGAGACTGTTCAAGGGCTGAAATACAATCTCAAGTCGCAACAAATACAGAACATCAGACGTGAAAAGAAGCTAAGTAGTTTTAATAGCCGAAACAATGGAAATTTCACTCTACGCCTGCAGACGTAATTTAACGCCGGTAAATACATGTTCACAAGGATAAATTTAGCAATGGAAAGTGGGTTACATGAACGGATGCGTTCATGGAATACGTGCATAGGGGGCTCATGGCTTGGATTGGGTTGAATAAGCACTTTAATTAATTGCACAGATTTCGCAATCACAACGCATTAAAAATGGCCACTCGAGGCTGACATAGTTTTCATACAAAGACGGGTTACTCTCTCAAGTGGTCACGACAGCTAGGGTTAGTTCAGTAATTTTCTAATTTTTATAGTAAAAGACAATAAAAGCGTACAAAGACTGGCAATCCATTTTCTGACGCCGTTAGGATGGTAAGATGATGGAGCGGGGGGGGGGGGGGGGGGGGGAGGGAAAAAGTGGGGGAAAAGGTCGTTTGGGCCCGAGATTTCACAACCAACAAGTGACGACTCCTCCTTAACACAAAACTAGGAAACACAAAACGTCACTACTCACCCCCACCCACAAAACCAGCAAAAAAAGGGGGGGGGGGGGGGAAGGGGAAGGCGAAGACTGGGTCACTAACCGTCTCAGTCCCAAGATTTCCCACACCGTCACTTAAACTTCATTCTTAAACAGAATAAGATGGAACTGCAAACCCTCAGCTCCCCCCCCCCCGAAATCACGAGCGAAATATATTATTGATCCGTTTCTATCCTTTGTCTGATGTCAGTAGTAAGCCTCAAAACGACTATCTTTACAAAACTGCATTTCATTCACATAGTCTTCTGCATTTTTCAAAGTCAAACCAGCTGGGCTATGTTGCATATGCGACAATTGCATCTTCAATCTTCTGCTGGTAAATCCTGCAATCAGCCCGGGTAATCAACGCACTGAGGAGAAAGGTGAGGAAAGGCCTTTTCAGCGGCTCGAAGGTTAAAAACATGGCTCCGCTCTACAATGACTCAAGAAAGATTCAGTTATCTGACAGTACTAAACACGACAGCCACAAAGAAAGGAGAGACAAATTTGCCTTGCCGACGACTGGCAAATGAATTGGTGATCGTAACGTTAATCGGAAAAGAAATTTCGTTACATTTACAGAATCCGATTTGATGACAGTAAGCCAGTAAACCACGCCAAAAATGAAGTTGCGTTCTCTCACTTTGGCTCCCGGGTTTGGCTGTGTATGGTTACACACTTTCTTTTGTTGCTAACTTTAAACTGAATACTTGATCGATGAGTTGTAATTGTATTACGGTAAATAGTATCGAATCGGGACCAGGTTTTGGTGGAAAATTGCATTTAACTTTCTTCGAATTAATTTAAAATATCTGAATGCTTGATGAGTTGTAATTGTATTACGGTAAATAATATCCAATCGGGACTAGGTTTTGGTGGAAAATTGCATCTAACTTTCTTCGAATTAATTTAAAATATCTCTTGTTTCTTCTTTTCTTGAAAAAAGCTCCACGTTTTCTCCTACTGCGGAGCAATTTTTAAGATCCGCGGCCCTTGTGAAAGCAAAAACGCGCCATTTTCCTCTTTCTTGATTTGGGTGAAGGGGGAGGCTAAATTTTCCGTAGTTTTTGTCCCGACATGGTTGTGAGTGCTCCTCCGTTTTGTACAGAGGGTCCTGAAAAGGAATTCCTCGAACCCGTAATTGCGTCAAACACCAATCAATCCAGCAATCACGACGCAATTTATCTCATAATCTCGAATTCCGAACAAATGTTGGAACAAGCGGCTTTCAGATCCTCTGTGAATACTTACAAATTCCTTCATCTTCTTAGCGGACCCAGTGGCGGATATGATGGTTTAACAAAGGAAAGTGGTGCGGTTAGCACGTGACATGGTTAAAGAATACGTGGATAACTTTTGTTTCAGTAAAACTATTTCTGAATCTCGCCCCGCAGTACTTTTGCCTAAACACCTGAAATAAACCAACGTCAGCCTAAAAATGGGAAAAACTGAAGAAAACGACAGTTAAGAACATAATACTTTATACTTAAAAACGAGACAGAAACAAAAAGAAATTAAAAAACAAGTGAGCAGCACTGTGCCTTGACGAAATTTGTAACACTCTGATTCAACTCTAATACGACTCAACCGCAAAACCACACTCAGGGGAGTTCGTGCAGGTCTGTCTCTACCTTCCTTAATTTATTTTTAGAACAACTTCTACGTGAGTCGGCAGAAATACGTGGGAGTTACCTTAACTTCAGGTCAACGAGTGGCTGCAGCCGCACGAATTTGGTTTGAAAAGTTTTGGTCCATCTTTTTAAATATGTTAAATAACGTTAATTCAGGGTGAAGTCTACTTTATATGCCGCGAAATGCTCTGCTAAACGAGGTATGTAAAAGAATAATTACAATGATAAAAAGTTAACAATAAGTGTTTAGTTTGAGCAACCTGTTAATATTCATAAACTTGGGGGAAGAAGGAGAATAATATAAAGAGTTGTCCATTATTCCATCATTCCAGGTCGAAAATATTCTTTATTCTATTATTCCGATACTCGGTAAAAACAGGATTATTCCAACTCGAAAATCACCGTTTTTCTCTCCTTTTTTCCCACCTCGGAAATTTCTGTTATTCTATTTCCTTTATTCCTCTTCAGCCACTTGTTGTAGGCCAACTAAATTCCGGGGGGTGGGGGGCTCCCACGTAAATGGGCACATGCTCGTGGTCATGTTCAGCTTTGTAAATTGAAATTTTGTTTTCACTAAAGGTGTTCATGGCGGGAAGCTAATATTTTGACTTACGCAGGTAATGGTTTGGGAGACAATGCAGCGTGTTCTCCTTTAGGGGCCATCATATTTTACTGAAATATTGCACCATTCCAGTTAACTTCAGCTATTTCATAGGATCTTTAAAGTGTAACTCGTGCTATTTATGCCCTGTCTTGCCTATTTAGTTAATTTGCCAACTCAGAAACAAACAAACAAACAAACAAGCGAAGCCTAGAGCAGTCTTAATACCTCTTGAAGTTAACAAAATTACTCTGCAAGACAGCATAACATGGCAGAGGAAAAGTAGAATAAATAATAATAACAACAATAATAACAATAAATCCAACAATGATAATATTAATAATTTTATATTAGCTATAATAATAATAATAATCATCATCATCATCATCATATCAATAATCATATCAATGAGCACTGTCATCTTGAAGGGGTGAGTCAAGAGACAGAGGACTACCCTTGAATGCCTAAAATCAGAGTCCATAGTTTGGTCCTACCTCCCAAGGAAAAAGAATAGCAAGTTTATGAGAAGAATGGATGAATCAGCTGATAATAACAACCATATTGATGATGATGATAATAATACTAATACTAATAACAACAACACAGGAGCTAATCTGTCCAGTTATAAAGTGAACTTGGCGTTTGAAAGACTAAAGACACTGAAGGTAGTATCATAGATAGACAGCTAAACTTTAGTCCACTTCAACATTCAGATGTTATTACTGAGAAGTGTATAGTTCTAAAATATACGAAAATAGGGTGCGAATTATGGAAATTACATTTCATTATCATTTAGTTGATACAACAAAGTATTTGCCGGAGGACTTCAATATAGTCTTCTGTTTTCTCAGGACGTATTTCAAGAACCCTTCCAGGCTAACACTCGTTTTAAAGCGCAGTGCCGACGGAAATTTGGCCCTCTCCCTTTTCTTTTTACCTCTGTTGTCCCAGTCCTGTCTTATCGTTCGCTAGAGATATCGGTGGTTCACAATTGTTGATACTCATTCCCAGCTTAACCTAGGATTTGTATGATCATGAAAACTGAAACCCAGCTATTTCCATTTGAACTTCAATGTATTTCCAATGGACTATCCCGATTTTTAGTCTATTTTTCGCGAACTTCCAAAAAAATCGGTGGTTAAATTACCGCAGTGTTTGACTAATGAAGTAAAATTAAGTTTGGTTCTAATTACTGTATTGGGATTTCGAAAAACCTAGGCTTTCGAGATATCGGGAATCTAGGTCCCGCTGGAGAGCGGATCGCCATTTTTAAGTGGTATATGTCCGAACCTTTCGTGAGAGACCTCTGCTGGCAGCGAAGTCCGAACAAGTCGAAGTTCTAGCCATTTGCAGGGCAAAAAGCCAGTCTTTACATCTTTTTTGATGGAATCGAACCTGTAACCGGCTTCCGCTCTACAGACCAGCTCTCTACGGACTGAGCTAATGTTCCGCGAAACAGCCTGTTAACATGACACTCTGTGTTACGTATTTCTTTTTGGATAAAGGAAATGACTGAGATCCGAAAGTATCTTTATAGTCTTGACTTTCGTGTGCTCGCTGCGCTTGAGGCAAGCCGGAAAAGGTTTAGAAATAGTTTGGAAAAAATTTGTATTTCATGAGATTTCCTCCGAATTTGCGGATTGAAGGACTAAGGTAACCGAAAATTCGAATTTGTGCAATAAAATATATATATTTTTTAGGGTTGGTAACGTAGAGGATGAATGTAGAATCAGTGATCTCAAAACAGGCGACCCGCAACAAAGAATCAGAAAGAAAGTTCTACTTACCTTGGTTCTTTTAATTAATAATCGACACATTTTTCAGTCAGTGTGCAGGCCTTGTCCGTGTGTATAAAAGCTCTCTTCGACACCCAGCTATCTCTTTACAATCCAAACGTTTTTTTTTATGTGAGGTCGGACGCAATTGTTTTTTATAAGGGCCTGGGATATAGGACGAAATCACGAATAACGAGCATTGCGAAATCTCCGCCCTATGTGTGGCAATCTCTAGCTGATAAAGGTTGAATAATTGAGCCACACAGAACAAGGCAGAGAGGCTTCTGATTGGCTGGCGGGCAATCAAAACAGTTCTAAAACGGCTCTCAAATAGATTTTGCGTGTGGTTTCATACAAACGATTTGACAATAACTAGTTTCAACAGCACTTGGGAGTTTTCCTTGTGTTAAAACACGACATAAATTCGCGCGATATTGTTCAAATGCATTGTTCTCTTGAATCATGTCACATCACGAACAGCATTACATGGTTTCTTAATGAAATCTAACGTCACGTGGGCCATTCTGACCAATGAAGTGGCTGAAAAGGCGATTGCACAACCCGATCAAATGACATATGTCACGGGATCACGTGGTCTTGTAACACCGGCGGCACGTGGCCTTGGCTTTCGCTACGCTTGAAGCTTTTCTCGGAGGTCAGAATTTCACATAACTACGAGCCTTGCACTTACTTTATCTGTAATTTCTACAATTTCCAGCTGTGTCAGGTGTTTTGAAGTCGTTCGGTTGTTGTAGTGCGTAAATACTGTGCAGTCTGTGACATTTGTTCCTCGTTTTCGATTCTAGGCCATCTGAGGCGGGCTTTGCGTTGTCGCTGCGGTGGAAGACGGGAAAGCTGAGAGTCAGTGAATGGAGTAAAGAAGTTGATGCCGTGTTAGTTAACCTTCCGGCCGCGAGCTAAATTGTAGGTGTTCTCTTAGCTGGCATTTTTGCGGGCCAAGACTAAACGCAAGGTTTTGTTTAGTATTTGCAAGTTATTTGTCAGATGAACTACGAACACAACACTCTATTGTAGTAGGGCAAGATATTACAACCGGAGCCAACAAGTTTACAAGACTTGAATCAAAATATTTTCCAAGTTAATGGGGCTTCAGCTGGTTTTAAGCTACCCATTTTGCAAGCGTTGTCTTGTCCACATGTTGCAGGCTCGTTATCCTGTTTGCATAGAAAAGCGTCAATTTATTTACGTGCAATCGGTTCTTGGTACAAAAATTCCACGAAGCTGACAAGGCCTGCAGACGAGCATCTCGATTTCAGTCGTTTGAAGACACGATATGGAGTCTTTTCCGCTCGAATACAAACTTAAGCTTAGCCAGTTGAGCTCGTTGCTATGTTCTATGATGGTTTAGTTAGCACTTCTTATAAGCATTGTTTCGTTTTCCAGAGGCCTCTCCGCAGCTAACAGCGTTCAACTCGCTTTTGCTTGCTAGGTTTTAGTTGACCTCAGCTGTAGAGTAGAGGACAGTCATCCATAAAATCACTTTCGACGTAACCTGCAATATACCTTGGATTTTAACCGTCATTTTTGGTGAGTACAATCTTGAAGGTTACCTTACAATTTTCTAGTTTTAAAAATGCAAACAAAACTTCGTTAATACTACTTGATCCTTCATTGTGTTCAGGAGATGCATCGTAGCGTTTGGTTGATCGTATCAACAGGCTGATCTTTCGGGTAGTTTATACTCGGTACGATTCCTGTTATCTATTTTTTGGAGAATTCTGTTTGCTCCGTGTAAAGGTCGTTTTATTCAGAGGGTTGTGCATCCTTTTAGCTTGAAATTTTAACTAGTTAGCAGGATCTAGACGTGGTACACACCTCGTATGATAATCAGGTTTACGGCGTTGCCGCTTCATCAATCCATCCTTCCTTTCAGATGGGCAAAAGGCTACTCATAGCGCTTTCACGTCTTTTCGTGAAACTGGTGTTTTTTGTCTTCAATTTGAATGGTGCTGTAGTATGCTTGTAGAAATAGTTTTTTCCCTTTCTACCTTTCCGTGACTCCCAGCTCACTGGTTAAATTTTATTTAGGGTGTGTAGCGAGGTGAAGCATGCTTTGAACTTGTGATGGGGGGGTTGGAGAAAGAAAGTTGCTCTCTTAAACATCCCGCCGAAGAAAGCGAAAGTCTGCAAAAAGAGCTTGAGTTTTACAACGTTGTTGTCGCACTTCATTGTGAAACGAACAAGTACATGAATCAAAAATGTTGTGAAGCAAAAATGTGGTGTTAATGTTTTTTAGCAGGGTTAAGTGCCATTTCCTTGACGAATATACAAAGCATACTTTCTCGCCTTCGCTTGAAAAAAATCTGCATACTCTATTCCTAGAGAGGAACCAGCCTTTTTGAAAGGTTTATCGTGACCAGATTTCTTTGTGTGAGAGAAACCAATAATTTCTTTGAAATGTGTTAACTACTTGTGCGACAGGAAATCCTTTTTACCTCTAGTTCACTGTACTATTCCCTGCATTGCATTTCATCAGGACGGTTTTCATACAAGGGAAAAATCATGTCGTCCGTACAATGAACCTGTATGTTGTTTTTTTCACTGGTAAATTTGTTAACTCATTTTCGACATTTTTTAATCTCTTGTAGCCGTTCAAACTAAACCTCTAGTTAACCACTTGCAGAAGCATTTCTGCTTTGAAGCAGCTTTTAGTCAGCTTGATTGCTAACTAAATGTCAAAAATGATGGAATTACATTATGCGTTTTTACCCAGCTTTAACGGAATAGTATTCAAATGTTTAACTCTGTAACGTACATGTAAATCGAACTGTTAACAGTATCATTTTATTGTAGGCATCTTTGCCGTGCGTCAGCAACACCTATACAACAGTACTGTTGTGCCTTTATAATATTCGTGATTAACCTTGTCTAGACAAAAAAAAAAATGGTGGTGGCGATAACATTCTTATGAAGTGATTACGTGCCTCTTCTAGAAGTGTGTTCAAAGTGTTGTTCCTGTGATTTCGATAGCGTGGTTTTATTCCTTATTAGACAATAGCTTGCAGTTTGTAAGGGCTTAGCATTAAGTGAAGTCATGTTGTTTTTATTTTTAAAAATATTTTGACCAAGATATTGTAATTGAAAAATTGCATTATTGAAGTTCAGTGTTGTAAGAAACAGCATTATGTAGTGTTTATATGAGTTCTTTTCACATGACTAAATTTAAACCATTCAAGGTTAATTGAGTAACTTCGTAACGCTAGTGCTTAGAATTGAACGCACAAGGAATGTCGGATTTGTTGTAAACAAATAGGAAATATGTTTGAATACTCAAGTAGAGTATTTCGCAGATGATTTCACTGCCAGGTGAATGCGAGAAGAGAGCAAAATAGCTGTGAAATCCTTGAGAAGCGTTCGAATCATTTTGGACAGTGTTCGCACTTGCACTCACGTGCGGTGGCACTTGTTTACATGTTGTCATAACAGCATCTTATCAGGCACGTGACTAATTGAAATTTTGCGGGGCTTTCCCTGACCTTTCAGACAGAAGCAACCTCTGTGATGGAGTACTCTGGACGTGAAGAACCTCAAGGGTGAGTTATTTCCGTTCAGATGTGCACAGAACCCTTGTTCATCGTTATTTGCATCAAGACGAGACTAAACAATCTCTTCAGCACTTTCAGATTTGATTTTTAAAAAGCCTTCAACTTTAAGTTATTCTTGTTGATAAAAAAGCTAAAATCATAACCATTCTTAAAGTTTTGTTGAAGGTGCTTCAGTCTGCATGTAAGGTCAACACTTGTGCACTTACGGTTTTAAGTAAATAATAGTCTGGCCGTAATTTTTTTAAGGGACAGAAAAATAATGGTACGTGTTTATCTCTTTATGGCTGGTGACCTATAATGTCAATACTACAAAGGACGCAACTGTTTTTTTTCTTTTTTCGTCGTCTGGTTTTTTTATTGTGCTCTCCACTAAGGCTGGGAAAATGCAAATTTATACAAGTTTCAGATAAAACGCCGTTACGATATCCATTCCTGTCCGCAATTTGTGTAGGATTAACTAAACGCACGGTAATTTGGTGTTTCCATTATCATTCCTTGTTGTTAGCTATGAAAATTTTTGTGGTACTCTGCCCACCATTCAGTCAACATCTCCATAAAAGACGATTTGATAACTGTTCTGAAAATGAAATTGCCCAACTGAATGGCAAGGAGTTATGCATGGTTATACATTTTTTTTAACTGATTACAGGGAACGATGCGTCATGTTGTTTTATAATGAAAGAGGAACTAAATTCTCTTGTGTTTATCCGTGTTGTGCTTCATTTCAGGGCTGTTGGACCAAGCTTGGATCAAGTTGGACAACAGGTACGTATGTGTAATATGTGTAATTGATGGTGCAATTTCGCAGTCCCTCTTGGGTAGCCATGACTGCTACTGATCTGGTTTACCTATGTACAGTGTGTACTTACTATGAATATAGGCAATGTGAAAGAGTATCAGCAAGACTGCCTCTTGTCTCGTCTCGTAATTAAGAGTTCCAATACAAGAAACCTTCTAACAACCGTAATTGCGGTGTTCCATAGAGGCTCATTGTGCTGTCTTCCAAGGTGAAATTTTTGCTAGTAATTATTGTTAGATTTGCTATTTGAACATCACCTGCAATAGTCAGCATATTAATTTGTTGCACGTTTTCCTGTCAAGATGCCTTTAAGTTGGCATATTGATTTGTACTGTAGGTTAGCTTTTGTTATGTATGTATCTTTAGGAGCAGTAGCCAGGGGCCATATTAATGAATGCCTCACTGAAGCTCTCTGGTAGCAAACAATAGTAATGATAAATCTTTATTTATGAGTGTTTTTTTTATTTAAGAGTGTCTTATAAAACTTGCCATAGGCTGTTGTTCATCATGACATAAGGTCAGGGACAACAAAACAGCTCCATTACAGTTTTAGTTATTACTTCCGCATATTTGAACTGTAATTATATCAGATTACATTCCCTGAGACTCAGCAGACAAAAAGTCACCAGCTTGAGACGCTTTTGTTGGGGAAGTAGATTTGTTTTGCAGCAGTTCTTAGTACCATATACATAGACTCCAGAAACCAGTATTAAATTTGTAAGAAAAAAAGTGGACGGTTTTATTCACTAACCTGGATGGTGTATTTAAGAAGCTGACTGTTAATAAACAATTATTGGATGAGGTTTGTAATATCCTTAATAACCAAGTTTGAGTCTAAGTGTTATCAGCTGAGCAAAAGGCCGAGGTTGATAACACTTACTGAGACCTTGATTATTATGGATATCACAAAAACTGAATCTAATAATTGTTTTATTATACATTGTTTTAAAGAAAATAACAACAAACACACCATTCCAAGGAACCTGAATTGATATTGTTATTGGAAATCATGCATTGCGGGGGCAATCTACAGATTAGTCTGTAGGTTGCGCTGATTTCCAAAATTTGCTGAGGGCTCTTAGCCATTGGGAAGGCAGATAGTGAGTACAATGTATAATATAAGTTATTAGTTTAGCTCCCTTTGAAAATGATAGCAAAATATGTTTTTCCATTCACAATCTTGTGATAATGACGGGCTGTTCTTAGTGGTTGTTCTGCTAGCTCTTTAGCATCAGACAGCCCTTCTGCTGTGCCCTGTGAAAGATACGAGACTGTTATGTGATTGATAACACAACAAAAAATAGGGGCAAATTTAGTCTTAATTGCCTCACCTTTCATTGGTATCAAAAAGAATTAGAGTAGAATAGAGTCTCAGTCATGACTCCAAGGAAATATTTTGCTTGTTCACTAGTTTGTATTTTCTTCATGGTAATCAAAGAAAATAGATGGTATAAAAAGCTGAGACAGTCTTGCCCTTTTTCAGTAATTCCTTGCTCGATTTTTTTGCAACAACCATAAAGTTGTTAACATCTTTAGTTACTTTTCACTATTTCTGTAAAAATTTTGATTTGGTCGATGAATATATCCACTGAAAACTGGGTGGTCAAAATGATTATGCCTTGAAATTAGCGGGGATCAATGTAGCAAAGGACAATCTAAGCAGGCTTTTGTTTTTGTCAAGCCGGCTTTTTCTCCAAATTTACCTCAAAAATTCCCCCACGTCTTTGTTTGCAATTGAGCTGGTAGCAAGCTCTTTTTCAGCCGCGGAAATTAGCCGTCATCCGGAACTTAGCGACAATTCATGGTTATTTTGGTTCCATTGGAACCAGTCAAGGCTAAGTAGTCAATGATTTGGAGATCATGCTCTCCTACTTTTTAATTAGCCTGAAAATAACATTAGAGTCAATTATGATTAGTTGATGATTTACTCTAAGAGTCGGTCTTATTTCTGTCATATTGTATTTTCTACATCCTCACCGAATTTCTGTCACAATTTAATTTGTCAATTTGTAGATTTTATTTGTCATTCCTTAATCTTTAGGAGTATTAACAGCTTGTTGTTTAGTTTTGATTGGAGGAAGCTGACTTGTTCATTACCGTGAAGTAAATTTACAACCAGTTGTTTTTTGCCTTGGATAATTATTATCTGTGTAGTCTACATGTGTCTTGCACGATATAAAGGGGCTTGTTCATGCTATTTGCTGTCTTTTTAAAAAGCTGAAACTCGTCCTAGCATCGATTAAATTAAAAGTTCAGTTTTGCTTCCTAATAAGACTATATTTCCATGTAGGCATCGAAAGTCATCTGTTGCAATGGATGGAAACTTAAAATAGTTGGGATAATGTTTTCAAGTTTTAATAATTTGCCTGCAAAAATAACCTAAAGATTATTATGGTGAGTGCTCCTTATATTTACAGGAGCATTTACACTGTGGTGTAAAGGTAAAGATGCTGATTAATTAATGACCTCAGCACCGAATTGATCTGAAACAGAAACATCTTTGTGGTATAGCCCCTTTTAACAGTGAAAAAGTGGTTCCCTTTTTTGTCTGTAATTGCAAAGTCAAGGTCACTAGTTCTATATTTGATTGGTACTTGTATCTCACTGCTTCATAAATATCACCACCATAGACCACCTGCGGAAGATGTAAAAGTTAAACAAGTCATAATAAGTGCATTCCAGTGTCAAGAATACTTAGTTTGAACATCTTTTAGAAGTGAAAAAGTTGAAAGTTGAAAAAGTGTTGTCTTTTTTGTTGTTACCTAAAGTAAAATAATACTTTTCGTCTTCAAATTAATGAGCTAGAGTTTGAAACTTGTATTTTATTACAGGTTGCTGTTTGAGCAGTCTCTGATCAAAATACAGTGCACATAATTTGTTTTTGGGACATGGAACTTGTTTTATTCTGTTGCCAGCTCTTAAAACTTTGTTTTGTACTTTTGACTGAATTGAGTAGAAGAGCCTTGGTTTTTCTCTTTTTGTTCCATTTAATCCTTGTAACTCTATTGTTTTGTAAAACATAAATTTTTCATAGTGTGTGTTGTGGTCTCAATCTGTGAATTCTTTTAACTAAAAGAACAGTTAAGTTCTGGATTTTTCTTATGTGATCACAGTCTGACATATTTACACAGAAGGAAAAGGGTTGAAAGGCGTCTTTACGTGTACGAATTTTGAAAAACCTTCTTGTAGGAGTTGTAGTTGGAAATTGGTTGGTAATGATGCATTAAATATTTACTACCCCAAAATAAGACACATGCTAACATTTCACTCTATGGACCAACAATTGACTGAAGTTTTGATTCTCTGTGTGACACTCATTTTTGAATCTGAAATCCCGTTCCCCCTGACAAATGGCTAGGGTAAGTGAAGATCATTTTTCTGCACTGTCTAAAATGAAAATAACTGGGTTTTTGGTGGTTAAGACAGCATTTATATTGATTTAAGGTGATACAAGTTGAAACAGTTGCATAATAAAGTATAGCCAGTTATTTGGTGCCCTACTTCGTTTAAAACGGAAATAGCATTTTCTCTCGTAAATTGTGCCTTGGAACATTAAAATGTTAATTTATTTGGTAGATACCCTCCTCCTCATTTCGTCATGTTAACCCTTTATATATGAATAAAATTATCCTTGGACATTTTTTGCAGACTCTTAGGTATCCTAGCATTGATAAAAAAATCGATTCTTTAGTCATGACGTTGCCAAGAAGAAAAAGAAGTTCTCTCAGTTCCCTAGCTAAAAATGTATTATCAAAATCGTTCAAGTCTTACCTTAAAGTAAGAAGATGTGCTATGATATTAAATTGTGCAGGACTCGTAGAAGACTTGAGTCACTAGTGTCCTGCTTTCTCTGTAGAATTTGTATCGTTTTGCTACTTCGTTGGAATTGAATTTGAATTTGGGGCAAACAAAGTCAAGAGACTGTCAGATTAGGGTGGACAGTGAATATGGTTTATTTGTACAGTTTGCTAAGCCAGGAGCCAATGTTTCTTTGTTGTTTAAATTTACTGAATGCAACAATTTCTTGTTAGTTCTCTTACATAGGAGAAGATGAACTGCCAGATGTTAAGAACTCTAAATCACCTGATAGTGGAAGAAGAAATGGAACAAGACCAGGAAAGACTCGATCAGGTCGCAATAGACAACCAAGAGATACTGACTACTTCATCAGGTGCAAGCAACTGTTTTTGTTTGTAGATATTATTTATTCTTGTTTTATTCCATTATAATGTAGCTTTATGTCACTATTAACCTAGTAGTGTGCTTTTACATGCCCTTGGAATGATTTCATCTAAATATTAAGAGCACCCTAAACCTTTGAAAACTATCCATTAGTTGTCTGTCTCCTGAAAAGCCTTTCAGCCATTAATTTGGGTAATTAATTGATTGTTGGATTTGGTTAACAAATTTTCTTTTCTCATTTTAACTTTGTACATTATTTTAGTGACAGTATGGCGAATATTTTGAGAATAAAGAGAATTAATTTATTGTGGATAATATTTCGTGGATGTCGTATTGCCCATTGACTTTGCTTCTCTGTTATTTAGTTCTTTGCAAGAGAACAATATTGCTGTATATAAATTATGCATTCAGACAAAATAATTGTTTGGTGTAAATTCCTACTTTGTGTATTGCTTTTTCAGCTAAATTTCTTCGAAGCCGATTTGAAGGTTGTTATGGATGAAATTTCTATTCTAAATACCACACCAACTGTGTTAGTTTATTCTATACCAGACAAAATTGTGTGCAGCATTTTTTACCTATTTATATTTTCTCTAAGTGGAAGATTTGAAGCTCGTGTTAGATAAAAGATGATGTTCACTGCCTTCTGGAATGTCTGTTATTTGAACTGCAGTCATAGTTTTTGTATCCCTTTAGCTCTAATGTTGATCAACGTTGCTTTAATGTTGATCAACATTATTTTAATCTTTCCTTGTCATCCAAGGGGTGAATCAATATATTGCTCATATGAGTTTTGGAAATGATCAACTAGAGTATCTTGACGAACAAAAATTCTCAGTAATATCAAAATGAGAGATATAAGGAGAATAGTGTAGAGATAAGCAGTAATCAATGGTTAGGAAGTGCGGGGGAACATATGAGTTTACCTTGGATATGTGATTGGTGAGAACCACTTTCATAATAGACCTTTTTACCGATACGGTGGCCATATTGAATTAATTCGATTTAAGGAGTATTATAAGATGCCCAGGGGGCTTGAGCACATTTCATTTCAGGGCATTTTTTCTTAAAGTTTTCCTAGAATAAGATTGTAATGGAAAAAAAGATCCTTGTGCTGTGTTTGGATGTAATAATGATTGCCTTTTTCTAGTTTAGTATTAGAAATATGATCTTTCATTGAATATTTCTCGGGAAAAAGGCAATCATTATTACATCCAAACACAGCACAAGGATCTTTTTTCCCATTACAATCTCCTTTTAAGAAAACTTAACGAAAAACTGTCATGAAAAGCGCTTGAAAATACAAACAAAATGCGCTCATGCCCCCTGCCCATCCTATAATACTCCTTAAATCGAATTAATTCAATATGGCCGCCGTATCGGTAAAAAGGTCTATTGTGTAGTACTTGTGTACCTGAGTTACGTGTGGTTGTGAATTGTACAATTATTGTTGCATCTGTTGCATGTGCTTGCACATGATTACTGTGCCATCAAACTTTGTGGCCACATACCATGCATATTGGTTGATAGAACACGAGCATCCCAAGAATGTGGACAGATTTTGAAAAAACCTCCCAAAACAGTGTATAAAGTACCGCAAACCAACAATAGTCTGCAGGCTCTTTGTCCCCTGCAAATATAGTTCAATGAGGTTTTGCTCAAGCGAGAATTATTGCTTTTCATATTTTTCGGTCAAAGAATGAATGCTCTACCTGACAAATTAAGGAACAGTATTTTTCCTAATTTTAAGTGATGTGTACAAAGTCCTGATTCATTTGATCTGTTACACTAATTTTTATTTTAGTATACCCAGTTTAAGAGATCCTGATTTTTTTTCCTTTGAGATAATATATCTTAATATTATTAGCTATATATTGTAGCTACTCAAAATTTCGAGTTGAAATAAAGGTTATATATGTATGTATGTATTTCTTATCTTTCAAGTATTACATGTAAAATGTCAGAAAACCATGAGCAACAGAAATTGTAGAGTAAGTGTTTTTGACCTGCCCAGCAATAAGTGAAGTAAGTTAATACATCTTGAGACTAGAACAATTAACGTTTTTGGACTACAAAGATACACGCAAGCACTTCATGTTTTTTCTTTCTTTTCTTTTTTTTTTAATCGCAGCCTACCATCTTCCTGCAAACCCCTAGATTTTGGCTCCAAAATACTAAATTTACTGTCAATTAATACCATAGAGCTACTTGCGTTTTCCCCTCGTTCTTCTTATCAACATTCCAGTTAACTAGCTCAATGTAGCTGTGGGAATTTGCAAGGTTCTGGTTACTGTATGTTCTTTCGTATCCTTAATTTTTTCTACTCTCTAGAAAAATATTAGTTCTAAAAAGTATGTTGTACTGAGCTGCTTGTTAATGTTGCCATGTTACTAGGATTCTTGTGCCGCCCACCATGGTTGGTGCCATTATTGGCAAAGAAGGAAAGAAAATCAAAGATCTCACAGACAAAACAGGAACGGAGTAAGTCCCTTTAAATTTAGTGATGGCCTTTCATATATTTTTGATTGTAAATAACGTTGAGTTTTAAACTTCAATTAGGGCTGCTGGTAAGTTTACGTTTTAGAAAGGGCATGTTTCTTAAGCCAGATCACCATTTCAGTTGGACAGACCAGAACTATTGGACATGCATTGTACTAACTCATATTTTCAGTACAATATACGCCGTCAAGGTAAAAAAAAATAATGATATTCTTTTGGTATTTGATCTGTCTGGTCATCATGTCTGACCTGCAGGCTGGATTTCGTCTGGGATTTTACAAGCTTAAGCCAGGTGTTGTCCATTGACTGGATGATATTTATAGCTGTGTGAATCATTTTGCTGCTTAACAATATTATTTATTTTTTAAGCTATGTAGATCCACAGTTCTTCTTTATCATGGGTGATTAAATTGGTTAATTTCAAATGTCAATGAACCAGTCAAAATTTCTTAGAATAAGTGTGCTCATAACTAAATCAAATTATAAGCCGTGTTCACAATTCTTGACATTCTTCCTTCACTACATGTGTGAATAAAGTAAATATTATTTCAGTATAGTTTTGATCGAGATGCCTCTAACATACACTATAATCACTCAGCCATAACCTTGTAAACCTTGCCTTTTTGTCTCTAGCATCACTGTGCACAAGAAAGATGACAAAACTCCATTTGAAAAGGTATTTTCTTTATCAGATTGCTTTTTAAATCATATTAGAAGTGTATATATAATCCTGCTTTCTCTGTAGAATTTGTATCGTTTTGCTACTTCGTTGGAATTGAATTTGAATTTGGGGCAAACAAAGTCAAGAGACTGTCAGATTAGGGTGGACAGTGAATATGGTTTATTTGTACAGTTTGCTAAGCCAGGAGCCAATGTTTCTTTGTTGTTTAAATTTACTGAATGCAACAATTTCTTGTTAGTTCTCTTACATAGGAGAAGATGAACTGCCAGATGTTAAGAACTCTAAATCACCTGATAGTGGAAGAAGAAATGGAACAAGACCAGGAAAGACTCGATCAGGTCGCAATAGACAACCAAGAGATACTGACTACTTCATCAGGTGCAAGCAACTGTTTTTGTTTGTAGATATTATTTATTCTTGTTTTATTCCATTATAATGTAGCTTTATGTCACTATTAACCTAGTAGTGTGCTTTTACATGCCCTTGGAATGATTTCACCTAAATATTAAGAGCACCCTAAACCTTTGAAAACTATCCATTAGTTGTCTGTCTCCTGAAAAGCCTTTCAGCCATTAATTTGGGTAATTAATTGATTGTTGGATTTGGTTAACAAATTTTCTTTTCTCATTTTAACTTTGTACATTATTTTAGTGACAGTATGGCGAATATTTTGAGAATAAAGAGAATTAATTTATTGTGGATAATATTTCGTGGATGTCGTATTGCCCATTGACTTTGCTTCTCTGTTATTTAGTTCTTTGCAAGAGAACAATATTGCTGTATGTAAATTATGCATTCAGACAAAATAATTGTTTGGTGTAAATTCCTACTTTGTGTATTGCTTTTTCAGCTAAATTTCTTCGAAGCCGATTTGAAGGTTGTTATGGATGAAATTTCTATTCTAAATACCACACCAACTGTGTTAGTTTATTCTATACCAGACAAAATTGTGTGCAGCATTTTTTACCTATTTATATTTTCTCTAAGTGGAAGATTTGAAGCTCGTGTTAGATAAAAGATGATGTTCACTGCCTTCTGGAATGTCTGTTATTTGAACTGCAGTCATAGTTTTTGTATCCCTTTAGCTCTAATGTTGATCAACGTTGCTTTAATGTTGATCAACATTATTTTAATCTTTCCTTGTCATCCAAGGGGTGAATCAATATATTGCTCATATGAGTTTTGGAAATGATCAACTAGAGTATCTTGACGAACAAAAATTCTCAGTAATATCAAAATGAGAGATATAAGGAGAATAGTGTAGAGATAAGCAGTAATCAATGGTTAGGAAGTGCGGGGGAACATATGAGTTTACCTTGGATATGTGATTGGTGAGAACCACTTTCATAATAGACCTTTTTACCGATACGGTGGCCATATTGAATTAATTCGATTTAAGGAGTATTATAAGATGCCCAGGGGGCTTGAGCACATTTCATTTCAGGGCATTTTTTCTTAAAGTTTTCCTAGAATAAGATTGTAATGGAAAAAAAGATCCTTGTGCTGTGTTTGGATGTAATAATGATTGCCTTTTTCTAGTTTAGTATTAGAAATATGATCTTTCATTGAATATTTCTCGGGAAAAAGGCAATCATTATTACATCCAAACACAGCACAAGGATCTTTTTTCCCATTACAATCTCCTTTTAAGAAAACTTAACGAAAAACTGTCATGAAAAGCGCTTGAAAATACAAACAAAATGCGCTCATGCCCCCTGCCCATCCTATAATACTCCTTAAATCGAATTAATTCAATATGGCCGCCGTATCGGTAAAAAGGTCTATTGTGTAGTACTTGTGTACCTGAGTTACGTGTGGTTGTGAATTGTACAATTATTGTTGCATCTGTTGCATGTGCTTGCACATGATTACTGTGCCATCAAACTTTGTGGCCACATACCATGCATATTGGTTGATAGAACACGAGCATCCCAAGAATGTGGACAGATTTTGAAAAAACCTCCCAAAACAGTGTATAAAGTACCGCAAACCAACAATAGTCTGCAGGCTCTTTGTCCCCTGCAAATATAGTTCAATGAGGTTTTGCTCAAGCGAGAATTATTGCTTTTCATATTTTTCGGTCAAAGAATGAATGCTCTACCTGACAAATTAAGGAACAGTATTTTTCCTAATTTTAAGTGATGTGTACAAAGTCCTGATTCATTTGATCTGTTTCACTAATTTTTATTTTAGTATACCCAGTTTAAGAGATCCTGATTTTTTTTCCTTTGAGATAATATATCTTAATATTATTAGCTATATATTGTAGCTACTCAAAATTTCGAGTTGAAATAAAGGTTATATATGTATGTATGTATTTCTTATCTTTCAAGTATTACATGTAAAATGTCAGAAAACCATGAGCAACAGAAATTGTAGAGTAAGTGTTTTTGACCTGCCCAGCAATAAGTGAAGTAAGTTAATACATCTTGAGACTAGAACAATTAACGTTTTTGGACTACAAAGATACACGCAAGCACTTCATGTTTTTTCTTTCTTTTCTTTTTTTTTTAATCGCAGCCTACCATCTTCCTGCAAACCCCTAGATTTTGGCTCCAAAATACTAAATTTACTGTCAATTAATACCATAGAGCTACTTGCGTTTTCCCCTCGTTCTTCTTATCAACATTCCAGTTAACTAGCTCAATGTAGCTGTGGGAATTTGCAAGGTTCTGGTTACTGTATGTTCTTTTGTATCCTTAATTTTTTCTACTCTCTAGAAAAATATTAGTTCTAAAAAGTATGTTGTACTGAGCTGCTTGTTAATGTTGCCATGTTACTAGGATTCTTGTGCCGCCCACCATGGTTGGTGCCATTATTGGCAAAGAAGGAAAGAAAATCAAAGATCTCACAGACAAAACAGGAACGGAGTAAGTCCCTTTAAATTTAGTGATGGCCTTTCATATATTTTTGATTGTAAATAACGTTGAGTTTTAAACTTCAATTAGGGCTGCTGGTAAGTTTACGTTTTAGAAAGGGCATGTTTCTTAAGCCAGATCACCATTTCAGTTGGACAGACCAGAACTATTGGACATGCATTGTACTAACTCATATTTTCAGTACAATATACGCCGTCAAGGTAAAAAAAAATAATGATATTCTTTTGGTATTTGATCTGTCTGGTCATCATGTCTGACCTGCAGGCTGGATTTCGTCTGGGATTTTACAAGCTTAAGCCAGGTGTTGTCCATTGACTGGATGATATTTATAGCTGTGTGAATCATTTTGCTGCTTAACAATATTATTTATTTTTTAAGCTATGTAGATCCACAGTTCTTCTTTATCATGGGTGATTAAATTGGTTAATTTCAAATGTCAATGAACCAGTCAAAATTTCTTAGAATAAGTGTGCTCATAACTAAATCAAATTATAAGCCGTGTTCACAATTCTTGACATTCTTCCTTCACTACATGTGTGAATAAAGTAAATATTATTTCAGTATAGTTTTGATCGAGATGCCTCTAACATACACTATAATCACTCAGCCATAACCTTGTAAACCTTGCCTTTTTGTCTCTAGCATCACTGTGCACAAGAAAGATGACAAAACTCCATTTGAAAAGGTATTTTCTTTATCAGATTGCTTTTTAAATCATATTAGAAGTGTATATATAGCGATGCAGGGGGTATACCAGGGGTTTCAATAAGCACTGATGACTGATAAAATGCCTCTGCTACTTAACTCATCTAGTTGTCAGCTACTATTTTCCCGAAGGAAGAAGCAACTAGTTTTAATAACATCGTAAACAAATAATATATCATAAATCTGATGGAAATGTCATTCTGTGTTTTCACGAAGGCTTATTATGTGAACGCTGTAGTTCAGTGAATTTTTTGGATGTTTCTTTATAGGTTCATGCATAGGTTGTTCACGTGCAAATGTGCATTTTGCTTATCGTCATTGCTTCTATGAGTTGTGTGTGTGACTGATAAATAGGTTTATTGAAACTTGGGTGAACACTTTATTTTCTTAAACATACTCAATTGTAACTCCATTTAGTCCCCAGAATGCTGGAAATCAGAGTTCAGGGCTTTTGAAAGTTGGACTAATGCCAGGGCATGTTGTTGATACAGTTGGTTGCTCTTTTCAAACCTGCTGCCTACTACAGTTTTTATTGAAACCCCTGCATAATATACTGAACAGTCACAGGTTGTCCAACTTACAAAGTTAATGTAACAAAATTGCAAAGCAATACAAGACATTTTTGTCATGGTGATTCCCTAAAGCCAGAACATTTTTTTTAGTCTGGTTTTGTTTTGTTTTTTGTTTGTTTTTTAGTGTGTAAAGAACAGTTACATAGGTAACTGTGCAATCATACTTGTTTGATTAGATTTAAGTTGTCAAACCAGAATTATTATGCAACTGCAAGCCATTAATCAATGCATAATTAGTTGGCATATACAGAAAGAACAAGATGAAAAAAGCCCCCTTGCCAAAAATCAGCCTGTTTGTGTAAATTGGTGGGGAGATATACACCATTATGCTCTGATGACTCGATACAAGTCCTTATAAATTGGCTTAGATAGTAACGTTTGTTAGTAACATTTGTGAATCAGGCCTATTTAAGAAGGATTGGAGCATGAAATTGCTTATATCTCCTAGCCTACGTTGCAGATGTAATATAACCTGTTAGTAACGTCTGCAAAGCAGTGCACACATCCTTGATGTGTGTACCCAACTGACTCAATGACTCAACTCTAATCATTTGCGCCCTTACTGTGAGTTGTATTGTCACACAGTCTGCATGTGAAATATTTGGAATTTGCCGCTTTTGTGGTTCATGAATGAGAGAATACTAATCTAATTAACCCAAGGGTTTTAAAAATAACTGTCACGCACACAGGTTACACTTAAAGATGTTGGTCTTTGCCCCTTTTATGGTATGGACATGTGCTTACTGGCAATGAATAGTCTGTACAATGACTGGTAATGACCAGTACCTATGGTCTGGAGGCGTTGCTTTAATATGTTCATTGTTTTTAATTTCTTTGTCCCCACTCTGTTGGGAACTGTGTTTCTTTGTTGCAAGGTTTTCAAGGTTGTAAAAGTGGGATCAAGTACTCTGCTAACAGAGTTTCCTTCCTGGCATGCGTTTTACCTAGTATGAGTCCTTCGCATGGCAGACTTTCGTGTCACTTGCCTTGTTTACATTCACTCATATTGTGTACCTATGGCAATTTTGAACCAAAACAAGCGATCTCAAAAACTCTATTTGGGCATAATGCTTTTGTCACTTGAACGTCACTGGGCTTACTGAATTTAATAAAATTGTGACAGAAAAATAGCAAATTAATTCTGCTCTTAGTAGTAAAACAATATCATTGTGCAAATGGCCTATTTGCACTAGCAGGCTGATTTTTAGTGAGTGGAATTTTCATCTTGTTCTTTCTGGATATTCTAACCAAGCCCATGATTTAACAAATTTAGCTTTTGTGACATCATCACTTTTCTTCTGTACCATTTGTTTGTTGGGCTTGACGTTAAAAAATTGGTACATGTGCAATGTCATGTCAGATAGTGGGTAATGAGATGTAATTGCTTATTGTTAAGGTGGTAGAGATTGTCGGAACTCCAGCGCAGTGCAGCGAAGCTAACCTCAGCATTCACAGAACAATGCGTTCTGAAACTGACCCCGCCAAGAGAAGGTAAGTTTATCTCATTAATAAATGCGGTTAAGCTCTCCAACAATAGATGAGCTTTGGGAAGTTGCCTGGAAAGATGGTGAAGCCACAAGCACAAGAGCCGAGTGTGTAGGGTAACCATAGCAACCCAGTGAGGGGCAACCACCAGGCACCTTTGCACTGAAAAATACTGGAACAATGATACTTACCTCATACTTACCACAGAGAGGTTGGGAAGGCAGGGAGTTAATTTGCCGAACACAGTTGAAAACAGGCACACTCCACGTGAGAATGAGCTGACCTCAACAGCAGAGCTGTAAAGGATGCCTGCGACCGGGTAGGCTGCTGACCAGCATTGTTTCACTTTTAACTTCGCGTAAATTACATTTAACCACATTTTAACTCGTCAATTGAACAATGGATGGGCTTGGGTAAAGTGCCTGCTAAAATAATGTAATTTTGAATTTAGCCCTCTCAACAATTTTTGTCACTCTTAGGCGGAACTTTGTTTATAATGAATAAATAATTAATTTAGGCAAGGTCTAACACAAGACAACGCTGACAAGTGGTCTACCTCATGTATCATATCTGGGTCTGTCTTTGGCCATTTGGAGTGCTCTAGTAACAGTAGTTCAGGGCTGCAATAACAGTCAGTCATTGGGCATTGGCTGACCAAAATTTGCTAGTGTCTGACAAAATCCCACCTGTGTTCAGACATTATGTCCAGAGAATGTTTTTTTATGGTAAATCATTTATAGTAAGGAAAAATAAAAATCTGCCTCAAGTAAATCTTGGTTTGTGTTAGGATGATCTCCGAGTCACAAAATAACATTGACTTGGGTAACGAAGCTTTCTTTCACATTAAACTCTCCACTGAGGTTCTCAGTCTGATGGTGTGTGGGTGGTTGTCGTTCACGGGGTTGTCATGATTACCCTCTGTGTTTGTTGGTGGCTCCCTCAGTTTACCCAGGTGTCTTCCGCACACCCATTGTATTGGTGATGGGTTTACTTGGCTTATACATGGTCAATACTTAGTGCCAGACCAAACGACCTCTGTCTTGGAGACAATTCTCTTCAAATAAGAGGTGGATAAAGTTTGTTGCGATGGGGAATTTGTAATATTCTGCTTACACCTTTTTTGAAGGCTAACCTAGGGTTAAAAATTAAATATGATTCTTGTGAACTGATGGCAAATAGAGCATTTGTGGCATGCTCCTTACAGCACAGCTTAGAATACTGATAATGTAGGCTTTGACCAGTCAGAGAATGGGAACTTCTGTAGTCACCTAAGAAGTAAATTAATAAGCTAACTATAAGACTGTCAGTAGTAGTTGCTCTTTAGTTGTAGGCTGTAGTTTCAAATGTGCTCTTCTAAGACTTATATTTATGTGCAGGACCTTAACCACTGACTGTATGTATTGACTCAATGGTCCTTCTGTTTGGTATCAATCTTTCTCAAGTGACTGAGATAATCTGTTATCTGCCTTTTAGCCCTGTGGTGGAGATGCGTGTTTTGATTAACAGTGCAATTGCTGGAAAACTGATTGGTATGCAATTTGAATTTTTTAATGTATACTGTTGCTGCTTGATCTAGGTTCTTCAATACATCTCAAGTGTAATTGTCAATTCATTTGTTAGCTTTGATGAATAAGGTGTTAACGCTCATGTGAATCATGAGACCATAATTTTTTAAATTTATTGTTGTAGGTAAACAGCATGTTCATCTCAAATGTATAACAGACCAAACAGGAGTTACCTCAGTTCGAGCAAAAAAGTAAGTGTCTTTAAGATGTTCAGTATCATCTACTGAGCAGAGAGATACCAGTGTCCAGTTAAATAGACCACAAAACACCAAGGCCTCCATACCCTACTACTTTTGACTTTCTTCAGGTTTTTTAACAATTTCGAAAACCATTTTAACAGTTCATTAATTTTTTGTCAACTCTTTAGGCTGTTAAATGTAAAAGTATTACAGTTGAATCTCCATTAGGCAACCACCCTCTATTAAGCGGGTACCCTCTATTAAGTGGCCAGAAATCTAAGTCCCAAAATAATTTTAGAAAAGAATGGGAATTAAAACCTCTATTAAGTGGCCATGACCGTGGTCACCTGTTGGCCATCCCAACGAGAGTTCTCCCATTGTTGTCACCTCTATTAAGCGGCCATCAAGCGCTTGATACACTTCACCCAGTGGAGTTTGGCTTCATTTTAAGAATCTGATGATGGAAAATACAGTCCCAGATAGAAGTTGAGGACCAAAAATGGGCATTTGTTTCAAAATAAAGTGATGTTTCTACTTGAGATTATGCTGATTTATGACAAACCTCTGTTGAGCGCCCAAATGCCTTTAAACAACCACTTGTGGTACCCCGAGGATGGATGCTGAATGACTTTAATGTCCTGAAGGTCACATTATTTTTTAAAACAATGCAGTAGGGTCTTGTACATCCTCCTTATGTTTTAACAAAGGAGAAAAGACCAAGAGCTAAATAGAGTTGCCCAATGATGGGACTATTTGATCTGAGACACAGTCTTGATTGCAACCTTCTGCTGAACTACTGTACTAGGGGGTCTTAAGCAGCAACAATGGCGATGGTAGTGAAAACATCACGTAAAAAGTGAATTGGCACTGTTTCAAAACTTCATAGCTCATATTCCATTTCATTCAATTTGTTAGATATTGATGAAATTTTCTGAAGTTGAATTCTAAAGAATTGTATCCTAGTAGAGAAAAAGGAAAAGGAAATCGTTCTCTTATTCACATCCTCAATGAAACATGAAATTAGGAAGTTTCACATTGCAGTTGTGCGACAATGGCAAAGAAATGTACACAAAAGCCTGATTGCTCATGCAAAGTTGTTGTTTTGCTAATCTAAACTTACTACTTTTCTGCCATTCTTGTTGTTGTTGCTTAAGCTCCCCATGCATTATTATCATTCCGAAACAACTTCACACGCTCAGCCTTGTCTATTTTTATCCTATGTAATGATTCTTTTCTATGTTGTAAAGAAATTGTGTGTGATTAGTTAAATTGTCTTGCCAATCCCAGTTTTGTATTCATTGATTAATTTATATAGTTTAAAGGTGGTCCTTTTTATAAGCCTTATTGGCTTCCTTGGGCTCCCTTAATTCATCTGTTTTTTTTTAAATTTTGTTTACATATTAATATTGAATTTACATATTAATATTGAATAAAAAATAAAAATAACACCTGAATTTAACCTTCTGATATTTGTTTGAAGGGATGACTACAACCCATTAAATCATATGGACAGAGTGATTACAATACAATGTCAGCTCCCACCAGAACCCTTAACCTTAGATGAAAACACTATGCTCAGTCCACTTGAGGAGGAGGCACTATCA